CACATTAAAACCTACACTTAACCTCTATCAACTTTTAATCTTCAAGCTATCAAAACAAATTAGAAAAATAGTGGGGGAAATACCTACTTTTTGAGGTCATTATAAATGGGGCAAAGGGAGCATTACTGATATTGAGGCTTGGTGCTGAGACCAGAAATTAGCAAGCAACCACCAATGTTTTTGTGGGTGGGAAACTAGTATTTTACTTTAGTGATTTTGGTTTAAAAATCAGTTTACCTGGGAAGTAGGAATCCAAAAGCTAAAAATGAAAGCAGGGCATTTGGTTTCGAACAGCACCCAGAGGCCTACACAAAAATAATGGGGTAGGAGATGGCATATGATGAAAATACAATACACACAAATAATATATACTTTAAATGGTTTAGAACTAATCCAAATCCTGTCTTTTATTTTGTTTATAGGATTATGGAGCTAAAACTACTTGAAGCTTAGCATCCAGTAGTGAAAAGGTGGCAAAAGAATAACATGTCAATATGATATGGTTCACATAATTTTTACCTCTGGCTCATGAGCTCAACATCTCACAGGCTTCATGTGACACTTAAGCAGAAAGAAATGAGATAGGATCACAGGAGCTTGAGGGGTGGTATTTTTCAGGTAGCTTACTAAAGTTAAAGTTAAAGAGCATGGGTTATATTATATCCTATAGTGGTTTTGTGGTAACTAAAAGCACTTTGACTTGTACAAGACAGGGCACTTGATTTTCCCACACACACACACCCTACAATGCTTTGCACTGCCCAAAATGCTCCTGAAGGTTGCATGACTCTCTGGAACAATGTGATATCATCATCATCATCATCCTGCCTTTCACCCAAAGATCCCAAGGTGGTTCACAATAGAAAATGGGTGCATATAGGTAAGGGAGATTAGTGAAAACCAGATGGTATGTCTTGCGTGCACAAAACTGCTTTCTGCTACTACAAAACCACCATCAGAAACAGCCCCAAAGATTCCTCTCCCGCTAAAAGGTATTAGTATAGCAAAGCTAGGAAGATGGCATTTTGTCCCATTTTTACTGCTGTGAATAGTCATTCATCTGTTCTTGCACACAGTTTAGCACTGCATAAAACTGGGAGGCCCACATGGGAGGCAACTGGTTCATCATTCTTGTGCCAGAAAAAAATGTTTTTGTTTTCCTGGGCATTTTGGAACCACCAATGATTGGATGTTATTATGTTTTTAAATATTTTTATGTCTTTTTACTTTATTGCTGCATTTTGTTTCTGTAAATTATTCCTGTAAGTTGCTGTGGGACATTCTGTGGTGGGAAGTGAAGTATAAATTCAAAAAACTAACTACCGTATATACTCGAGTATAAGCCGCCCCGAATATAAGCCGAGGCACCTAATTTTAGCACAAAAAACTGGGGAAACTTACTGACTCAAGTATAAGCCGGTTCACCGCACCACAAACCTGGTGGTGGCGGCAGCTGCCGAGGAAGAACAAGCAGCCTGAAAGGGCTGCTTTCGGGCTGCTCATTCCTCCTCCTCCGCCGCTGACAGTGGCAAAGGTGGAGGAGGAGGAAGGAGCAGCCCGAAAGGGCTCCTTTTGGGCGCTTGTCCCGCCTCTGCCACTCGCAAGAGCAGGCATAGGAGCCGCGGTTGGGAGAGGCAGAGCGCTGCGCATTGCCTCTTCCAACCGCAGCTCCTGTGCCTGCCCTTGCGAGAGGCGGGCGGGACCAGCAGTGAGAAAGGGCTCCTTTTGTGCCACTCGTCCCTCCGCCGCCGCCGCCCACCTTACTCAAGTATAAGATGAGGGGGGCTTTTTCAGCATAAAAAATGTGCTGGAAAAAGACGATTTATGCTCAATTATATACAGTAACTAACTTTTACCTTTGGCTTTTCATTGCCTTTTGACCACATTGTTAACAATTCCTCTGTGGGGCTGTGTAAAGACAACTAAGAACAACACTTTTATTTTTGAGGCAGTGGACTCTAATCCATGAAAGCTTATGTCACAATAAATCTAATACTCTCTGTTGTTTTTGTGAGTCAAATATCTTACTCTGGTGGGTGCTAAGTTTGCTTCTTGACAAAAGGACAGCCAGATAGATGATCCTGAGTCTTAGCCAATCTTCCCATCTTCTCATTTTGAAGCTACAGTGTCCAAGAATACTGTTGATGCGCCAGCTTACTTAAATGTACAATCATGATCTACAGCTACAGACTAGATAATTGAAAAAAGTCACCTTGTTGTGATCAGACCACTGGGTGACAGAAGTCCAGATGACTAGGCAGTGGGACAAATTAGGAGTGTTCAGAGGACTGTTTCACATGGTACATGGCTAAGGCCACCTAATTTCAGCCACATCTACAACCTCTTATGACACATTTGTGAGAAACTTTCCAAAATAATTGCTCTCTGGTCTGCTCTGGGCACTGTAGTTCAAGCTGGAGTTGTTCAATGTGGCCTCTTGCCATATATGCCACTTCAACTTGTTTAATCTTCAGAAGCTGACAGTCAGTTTGAAGTGGATACAACCACATGCAGTTCAGATCATGCCTTCTGTAGCTCACTAAGGCTGCAATCCTAGGAGATGCGGAAAAATCTGAAGGCAGTAAAATTGCTTTGTTCTATACCTGGTCAAGCTCAAGCCTGAATTCCACTGTCCACTTCAGAGATGTGAATTCCTCCCGTTCCATTGACTATTCTTCCACGGCCCAAGGGTTTGCAGTCTAAAAGCATTTGATTAAGATTGGTGGAATGTGTTTGTATCGGTAGGGGGGGTAGGAGCGTCTCCACCCCCATCGTTCTGCCTGGATGCTGAGGTCCAGCGCCGAGGGCCTTCTGGCGGTTCCCTCATTGCGAGAAGCAAAGCTACAGGGAACCAGGCAGAGGGCCTTTTCAGTAGTGGCGCCCGCCCTGTGGAACGCCCTCCCATCAGATGTCAAAACGATAAACAACTACCTGACATTCAGAAGACATCTTAAGGCAGCCCTGTTCAGGGAAGTTTTTAATGTATGATATTTTAGTGTTTTTTGGTTTCTATGGAAGCCGCCCAGAGTGGCTGGGGAAACCCAGCCAGATGGGTGGGGTACAAATAATAATTATAATTATAATTATAATTATTATTATTATTAAATTCTCTATTATGGAAAGATGGCCTAGATTCTACTATATGTAAGCAGTTGCCTCAAATATACAACACACTCAAGTGAACATATTTTTGCTGTGGATGAACGCTCCTATTACTGCTTAGACTGAGAATCTTCTAGCCTGAAGAAAAATCACCAAGCACATGATTGCAGAAGAACTCCAGTCACCCCAAAATTTCATCCTTCATCCACCCATTTAAATCTGGCTCTCAGTTTTGACATGCAATGGAGTAGGACCATCTTTATCTGCATTTGTTCTTCCCTTGTTTTTCAACTTTTACATTACAACTTCAAGAAAATAAATATAACGAAGCTCTGAAAATAAAGGGGAAATTCTCATAAAGATATTAATGGTTCCATTCATACTATTACCATTAGAATATATCAGAATGTGGATCATACACACCAGACCACCTTCCTTCAATTTTCATAGTACCCTCTTCAACAGTTGCCCTTCCCCACAATATCTGCATTTGCTAAAATCATTAAATGCACATTGATCTGTATTTAAAGGGTTAGCTATCAATCCTTGGACTCCACAGAAGTGGTGTTGAAATAAGTAAGCCTGAGACACCTGCGAGACGAATCAAACATGAAGCTAATGAATAAGTTTTTTTATTGTAATAATGTTGCAATGGTGTTTCAAGGTTTCCCCCCATTATAGTGCTATTTCTACCACTACCTGTGAAAAGGTGTTGCACATAATGTTTCAAAGGTGAATTTTGGAGGTAATTCACATTTAGGAGGACAGAAAAGGGAGTGATTAACCAGCTAAAAAAATATAAGTCAGTTGACTGTGCCGCTATTTTGCCTTTGTTAGTTCAAAACAACATTTGTGTTTTGTGTGCTATCAACACTAATACTTCTGTAAGAACTCCAGTATGTTTTCACGTTGGATAGGGCACCACATTCTGAGATTCCTGCATTGCAGGGGATTGAACTAGATTACCCTTGGGGTCCCTCTTCCAACTCTATAATTTGATTATTATAGATCTCCCATTTCCTGGAATCCCTTACTTCACCACAACTTTCATATAGCACAGGCATGTCCAAAGTCTGTTTCGGGGGCAGAATTTGGCCCAGTGGTCGGTTTAATCTGACCCCTGTGGCAGTTTATTTCCTGGGGTAAAATCCTAAAAAAAAACCTCAACAACTTCAATCCTAAAAAAAGCTTACTGGCCCTTCAGTCGGCCCTCATGGCCCTTCACTTCATCAAATCTGGCCCTCTTTGAAAAAAGTTTGGACACCACTGATATAGCATCAACACAGATTTCTCAGTTTAGTTCCTTTTATATTTTTATTTCTAATGCTGACCTCAATTAGTAACCTTACTTATACACTGTAAGTTTTAAAATATGTTACCCTTATTCACTTTGGCCAGCAATATTGATTGTGCATCTTCAATTATAAACTTTAAAACAACAGTTCTGCTAAATGAGATTGCAACACAAACCTCCATGTGTTCAATCAGAAGTAAATCCAACAATATTAGTAGGAATTACCCTCAGCTGGAGCATTAGCTATTAACATTCAGGTGCAAAAAGGCTTTTGAATACAGCTTATAAATGAAAATGGAGTCCCAATGTTAACTTCCTTACAGTACCTATCCAATATTTTCCAGGGAAATAACGTAAAAGGTTTTTGGTAAGTATTAAAAAATTGAACAGTAATTGAAACACGGAAACATACACTCACCCTCCCCAAACATTTCACACCAGGGAAAAAATAGTACCTGGCAGCAATACCGACAGCTCCTGATTTAAATTATTAGGGGGCCTAGAAAGTTCGTTCCTGCCATTTATTATCTGACTGGAGAGGCACTATCATTTTTGTTGATATTCTAAACAAACACTGAATGAAAATGAAGCCATGAAAATATACCTGATGGTTTCTTCTTGATACAGTGAGCTGACAACTGGGCCTCCAAACCCAGCTTTTCCCCTCCTTTCCTTTCTTTTCTGCTATCTGAAAGAACAAACATTAAAATATCAGTTCTCCAACTGTCACACGAAGAACACAAGAAGAAAGCACGGTCACTGTTTCATGAGAAGGTGGAGAACGATTGATAGAAACAGTGATACTCTGTGCATATTCAAATAGAAATTGTTTGAACACTAAGTGGGAATATTGTTCTCAAACAGAAAACAGTTACTTTGCTACACTCACTTCATCAATTAAGTCAGCAGTGAGGTGGGCATCCTCATTGCAATTTTCAGATGTCTCTTGAATACCGTTTTATGCTGACAGGCTAGTTGTTTAAACTTTTTCAAGCTGAGCCAGACATGTTTATCATTATTTTGTATTGTTTTTATGACATTTTATGTTTTATTGCTTATTTTGTTGAACACTGCTTTAATATTTTACATGAGGGGGCAGTGGACTTCCTGCGGGGCAAAATGGCGGGCGCCACGGTGGTACATAGCTCCTGATGGCAGCCAGCATCAACTGCGCTGCCTGGTTGGCTCCCAGGCCGCCAGAACTACCGCCGCCAACACCGCCACCGGAGGTGAACCGGGGGTGCCTGGTGTGTCAGCCGGGGTAGCCGCCAGAACCCGCCCCCCCGGCAACGACCTTGGCTGAGCTGGGACCGAGAATACCTGGCCAATGGCCCAGCAGACCCAACCCAAAGAAAAAAAAGAAGAAGAAAAAAGGAGCCACGACCTCCCCAGCTTACCATTGTTGCCACTGTCGCCGCTGACGCCAAAGGGAAAGAAGAGGAGAGGTAGGAGAGTACCAGGAGGGCCAGGGAGGCCGCGACAAATCGCGCGGCCAAGCCCAGGCCTGACCCAAGCCTACCTCCCTGGAGGCTAGTGCGCCAAGAGCACACCGGGGACCAGAGGGAGGCCACACGACGGAAGACACCCCAGAAGAGAAGAGAGTGCAGCACACACACACACACACCCTTGCTGGAAAATATATTTTAACAATATTCAAAACCTCCCCCCCCCTTTTTTGAGAAGCCCACTGCCGCTACAGCCATCTTTATTTTTAAATCTTAATTCCCTTTCCTTAATTTTAAAAAATATTTCTTGAAAATACATCCTCAATTTTTTACCTCAAATTTCTCTTAAGAATTAAAATGGCGGCGCCCAGAGGAGAGCCCTGAATCAGCACAGGCCACTTCCTAGGATCGCCGCTTCACCCCCATGAGGGGGCAGTGTGTACATTCTTTTAAATAAATAATAATAATAAAAACAAATTAATGGTGCTTGCTGAAAGCAAAAGAAACGAGTATTTTAGCCACATTCCCAAATCAGCTACTTCCAGAAAATCAAGTCACTATATTCCTGCAGTCAGTTCTAATGCTGACCTACGCGCCCATCTCTGCAAACCTGCAATGTTGTATGATTACTTCTTCAGAAGTAAAATGGAGTAAGAAGTTCTAGATGCACTTTCCCCCTCTTGATCAGCTTGAATGAACCCCAATTGTATAAAGAAACTGAAGAATGAACAAGTTACAAGTTTGGTACTGAAGAATAATTCATCATGCAAACAAGCCCTCAGAGATATAAATTATTACACAGCTGTACAGGGGTCTGCCTATTATACCAGGCCAGGCCAGGCCTGAATGGAAGCCGCTCTCCAACAGTGCTTCTGACTGATCCTTATAATTGAACTTTTCAAGGACTGAACCTGGGACCTTCTGCATGCAAGCCATGTACTATGGCCCACTGTATAGTATATTCCTTCTCAAATGTATAGCACACAAGATATCCCAGAAGAAACTATGTACACACGGCATCAGTTCCCAGGTGTAATGGCTACTTAGAGGACTTGTCTACACTGGACTCCCTCTTTTTGATTTGACCATCATTGTGCTTATACGATGTCAGACTGAATCTCCATCGAGAACAGAACTGTCAGCTCCAATTTGCAGCCTCTCTGCTCTCAAAGATCTCAGGCAAAGATCTTTGGCAGCTATGAGAGCTAAGATCTCTAACTAGAGATGCCAAAGATTAAGCCTGGTAGAGGAAACGGCCGATTTAGACACATCCAATTGATGCATGATCGCACCCATGCACACTGGAAGTGTCCAAAAATGGGGGAAGAACAAGGGCGGGGCATAATGGGATTATGCACTCTCCCGTTGCACACAATGACCTGGAACACAACCCCCCATGCAAACTGTACATGCAAAGCCTGAACTCTTCCATCAAACTATCTATGCCCCCTCTCCAAAATGGGTCAATCTCTTCCTACTACGCCTCTCAATGTGTTTGAGCTTTTCCCTTGCACTTTCATGTTTTGTTTTATTAACATTTATTTGGTCTGCCAATGTACCCCTGCTCTGCTCTGCACATGGCATGCTATAGTCTGGACAACCTCTAACTCAATGCCCTCTTCAATAAGAGCACACTTGTGACTTTACTATGAATGGCATGACTCATCTAGACTCCACAGTCCTGCGAAATCCTCTTCCATTCCTGTATTCCTGGAAGAGATTAAGCTAATAAAATAGATCTGGAACTGGGCAGAACATATAGATTCACTCAAAACAAGTACAGCAAAGTGTTCCCATTACTGGCTTAATAGAGTGTATTTTTCAATAAAAGGAGCAGCTTTATTCAGGATACAATCAGATCCTGACTAGCTGTCATTGGCAATGGTGCTCCAGAGGGCTACATGTTTGAAAGCTGTATTCCAAATGGAATGAAAATGCAGGGAGTGGTATTTTCTAACATCATTAATTCACTTCTGCCTCTCTTTCCCCCCCTCTTCTTATTCCTTTATACACAATGTCAAGAAATATACTTCCAAATTGTTGTCAAGCATAAAAGAGGTGCCACGTATCCCAGATCAGAGGTTAACATATAATGACAGACACATTAAATACACTGTCCAAAGCCTCCACAACCATTTTAGCTCAATCTTCTCTTTTTAAAAGACAGCAACTCAAACACAATTATAGGCTCTAACAGAATTAAAATCAAATCATGATTGAACAATCAAATATTTGAAGAGGATGGCTATAATGCAAAGCATTATATAAAGGAAGAAAACCTCAGTAACTCAAGCATTTCCTTAAAGGTTCTCTGTACTCTTAACATGAAGTCTGTATCCACTGATGAATTAAATACAGAGTTTTTCAAAATGCGTCTTCAGGCATCCTGAGGTTCCTCAGAACCACTCAGTGGCAAAATAAATGCATACATATGCCTCTTTCAGCAAAGTAGTTCTGAGATATATTACGTGAATTATCTAAGAACCAGCCTGTCTTCTGAACTCAAGTGAAACCAGTTAAAATGATAAAATTTTGTTCTCTTCCTTGATTAGAAGATTTAAGAATGTCACAGCTCTCAACAATGAACACAAGTAAGAAGACATGCAAGGTCTTCTGAGAACCAGACTTTACCTTCCTTCTTGATTAACTGCTCTTCTATAGTAATCCTACTAAAACGTGATTCCAGGATGAAGCAAAATAGTTTGTTTCAAGCAGACTGAATAAAAACATCTTGCATTCATACAAATAATACCCATTAGATGTGGACATTAGGGTAAAATGAAACAGAACAGAACAATGTTAGGGGTGGTGAACCACTGACCCCCAAGCATTTTTCCGGTCTCCAAGACTTTGCTGGCAATGACATGTGCAGCACTGGCAGAAAATAAAAATAAAACATGAACTGAATGTCCCAACTGAAGCTCTTTTGATGGGTGGCTTCTTTATTCACCACAGTGGGGATCACTCATCTGTTGATTGAGCAAGGATCGGTGGTTATCATTCCCATCACAGTGCTGGGTGATTTAAACCTGTCCACCCAGTCCAGTTGATTGATGAACTGATAAATGGAGAAGAAATGTAGTAACATCAATAAAAAAATTCTACCGTGGCAATATCAGAAGACTGTTAGCATTCATTCATTAGTGGTCATTATTTTACTGCAAATAATAGAAACTAAGAAAACCATGTCTGTCAGTTAAATAGGGAAGAGCTAGTTTCTTCTTGATATTAAACAGTAGAACTAAGATTCTTTGCATAATCTGACTGAACAGGAAGAGGAAGATGAAAACCTTCCTAAAGTTTCAAGTACCCTTTCCCCTTCCTTTCTATCCCGGTGTCATGACCCGGCTCTCCTTTAGGAACCAAATTTGATCAGACACTAATTGTGTTTGACAGTCACAATTACATGCCAGGGTGGAGATCTGAAGTTGGTTAATTGTGTGTGCTGTAATTGCTTCTACCTCTACTTTGCTAGTTAAAGCCAATGGGGAGAGAGGGGGGGGGGAGAGAGAGAATCCACCACCTTGGAAATCAGGTGGCCCAAGATTGCAGTCTCTAAAATAAGGGGATACACACCTGTCTTTATTAGGAGAACATGGACACAACAATACAGAGTGTTTCTTTGACAGGATAGTTAATGAGGCATGAAATGAGTGTCATTCCAAAGGGCTTTATCTGTAGGTAACACTGCTGCACTTCACACTACCACATCCTGAATGCCTAAAACAGTGTCGATTTCCCCATAAAAGCATCCTCCTTTATTAAAATGTGGGTACATCTTAGAGTACTTGACACTTTTTATAGAATAAGACATCAGTTTACATGTAAAGATGATAAATATAAGCATGCTCAAAGAGAGGCTTCCATTTTAGACTCCTTCTGTGAATCCACCTCTTACAAAAGGATATTGTACCTTGGTCACAGACCTCTATTAGCCTCTATCAAAAACATCCCATTTTAATATTCTGTTCTCAGCAGCACTCCTTGGCTCCAGTGAAAAGCCACACCAAGTGACTGGGCAAGAATTAATACTTGGAATGATTTCAAAAGACCAATGAAGAACCGTACATTTTCAGCAAACTGTCCTTTCAACTATTTAAGCCATTCAATGAGCTACAGCTCCAATTTATTACAGTTAAAATTCTCACAATAGTTTCCATTTTAAAATTTGATAAAGCAAATCGGATGTGTGTGTACTCTCACACCTGCCTCTCAAATATTATTAAAATACGAATGACTTCCT